AGCGGTATCATCGATTGAACATCATCATCATCATAATCATCAAACACGGTACATGAGTTATCTGGTATAATTGGAATAAAGATGAGGGGGGGCACCCGATGTCTACACCACTTATAATAAATAATCGACAATACCTTCATACCATATACATTGTAATTAACAAGAACCGTAAGATTGGATTATATCCCTTTGATACGGTTTCATATCCGAATAGCATAACGATATGTCGGCATCTTGGAGAGGTAGTAGTTCCCGAGAGTCCCCTTGTGAACGGAGCTGTAGGAGAATTATGACACTTCTAACAAAACAGAGTATTTGAGGAAATATGAAAATGTCCTCCTTTCCCATTAGTTCATTCGAGCATACGCCTTATATTCATTCATATCAATCAAGCCGTCCTCGTTCTTATCGGCTTCACTATAAAACCTAACGTGATCGGGATCGAACCAGATACCTTTTGATTACCCTACACTTACTTGAACAAATCCGCCTGGTCCATATAGCCTTTATATATAGCCCTCACTTCTTGTGGATCGATACCTCCATCATTATTGGTATCAAACCTTTTGAATTCCTCCTCGAGTTGCTCAGGTTCACGAGGGTTCATACCGCCAGTCGCCTGTACAATTGATATAATACAATGATCCTAAATCTAACCTCATATATATCTTATTCATTTCAAGATACGTTTTCGTTACAACTCGACATTCTTTGTATCCTATCAAGAACACCCTAAGATTCTCCCATCATCATATTACAGTTCCATGAAGTTCCTCCAAATCAGCGTACCTAACAATATATAATATGAACAATAGAAAACCTTCACTGTGAGCAAAGATACTCATCTAAGATACTTACGGATCTTCAATAACGAAATCATCATCAACAATCTGACAAAGACCCTTTTAGAATGGTGGACTAACACCTCCTTTATATTACATGGTGGTCTCTGGTGTAGGCCACCGTAAGGGTCGCAATGAAGAGGAGGATGATGATGCCTATATCAAATCTCATAGTGTTGTTGATAAAGGGAAACACTGAAAACTATTAGAGTATGATGATTATGGAACATATTTATATTCATTATAAACCTCCACGAGTAGGCATAAGGTGTGTAGGTGGTTTCCTCCATGAGCTACCAATTAGTTGAGTATTGAACCTCATCGGCTCATGGTATATCCTGTTCGAACTACTACTCCTCGACAAAGCTGTTTTATACATAAAAGATGATAATATGATATTCTACAAGCACGCAGTGTATATCGCATGCGTTGTGGAGTATGCTAAATCTTGAAGACTTTAATATTCTTGGGGTTCCTTAATTTCGATTCAGACAGGAGTAAGAAGACGAGGACGAGGAGGAGGATTTCCTAAGTTCATGTTGTTGTTGGTGGGCACTCCCAGCAGCAAGGGGCCGTTCATTTCTCCATATTTTCAGTTGTCAACTCGTGGAGTATGAATAACGCATATCGAGATGTGGTGAAAGTGAGCTTTCATTGGTCGAAATTGGTCTTGTGTTCGACGAATTTCAACTTGCGTTTCCCAATTCATAAATTCCATTTACGAATTTGAGCTTTCATTTTCAACCAGTCCACGAAAATCAAATTTCATTCATCTAATTTGTTCTTTCGATTGTTGAATTTGAGATTGAAAAGGTGTAGAATATATTCACATATAATTTATTGTCATAATGAAGAGACGAGTATCAGTCTCATACCATTCCTCACTCAACATTGGCACGACATGTGATAGTTAATAATAATGACTTGTTAACTACTGCTTACTGGAGATTATCTTTAAAGTAATGGTATCTGAATATAAAGAATTGACTCTAATTCACTCATCCGATCATG